AATAAAAAATTCACTTTCACCATTCGCTTTTATAGAGAGTTAGGCACATCAATACATTGTCCCTCGTATGTTGCACATACTTTGTTGTTGTTCCGACTGTACCAGTTGTTTGTTCGTAAACAAAGAATTATAGGTATTACATTAATTTTGTTTTATGAAATTAGGATAATTGACGATGGATTTTTATTATGATGCGATTATATTTATATTCTAAAAACAAAATGCCTAGATAATGCTGGCGGGCGCCAGTGTTATCAAAACACTTTACGGTAAGTGAAGATATTATTTATTTGCACTTCAAATGTCGATAAGGCGTTCGTGAAACTGTTACAATAGCGTTTGCGTTTCAAACGAGCTATTTAGCATGTTACAGGTGTTTTTATGATTTTTACGACTGGATAGTTCTTATTTTGTATTTTATTTTCAATCCGCGGTTGTTACTGCCTGGAATCAGGTGGCATGGACTTATTTTAAATAAGTATTTGAATTATTTAACTATCTGTTTCGTCGGCCTGTATCTAATGGCGCGATGTGTGATCTTTACTTATAACGAAAACGTAATGGCATACATGTATTTGTCTATAGCTTCATAATTGTCAAAATCTTTAATTTTGGAGTCCCCTTAATTAATTTTACCATGAGACATAGCGAGTATGGTAAAGAGTTTTGGTAAACAGTAACATTCAAGGCAATTTTTAATTTGTTTTTTATTTCATTTTTAGCACAAACTTTATGTACATATTTACTTTATGTATGAATGATATACAGAGTGTATCACCGTAACTATATGAACAAAATCGAAGGTCCAATGCTTAGTACCTATAAAAACATAGTTTATTTAATTGTATACGATTGTTTATAGATAAATTAATAAGCTACAACCCTAAACTGTTTAATTTTTTTTATTTTGACTTTTATAATCACTTGTAACAGTTAATCATGCTTATCATTAATTTCAGAAGTTGCAAGGTACTTTTTATTTTTCCATAACTTTATAATCAGCATTAAACATGATGATCTGGTGAATGATGTGATGGTCTTAATCACTTATTCTTAGTATGGCACTGATAATGTTTGATAAGAACTTTGCTATTTGACCTTCAAATTGTTGTTTTGAAACTTCATCCAAGGATAAATGATGATAACGTGATAATGCGCTGTGACGTAACCATAAACTTGTTTGCGAGCGAATGTTTGATTTATAGTGATACTAAAAATATAAAACGCCTCTGTTTGTATAAAACAACATTTTTAGAACTTTGGGTATCATTTTATCGAAGTGTATGTACGTGAATGGTATTCATGTTTTGAGTGTTATTTTAGAGCATCCCTGCTTTCTGCTGAAAATGTCATTTTACTTTGAAGGTGGTAATGTAGGTTTCTATTTTGATTTTCTTTTATAAATATTGGGTATAAATAGGTACATGTTTTTAGTTGTTATTTTTCCAAGAATTATATTAATTATGTATGTTGTAAATACCAAAATAATTAATGTGTTATTTTGGCATTTCTAATATTAGCTTTAAAAAAACATTAAGTTCTTTAGTAGTTTCTCATTAGGCAATTAAATTGTAGGTTTTTCCAGAGGTATTTCTTGGGAATTACAAGTAGTATTTTTCAAATTGCGGTAACGGAGCAGCCATAAAAATATAGGTAATAATGTAAACTATTTTCGATAAAAGAAAGCATGCCTTTCTAGCAATTTTATAGCCCTTTTGTTTAAACTATTCGTGTTTTTTAATTACTCATAATATACCTGCTTGAAAGTTTTACTTACACTTTTATGACTGCATACATACCATTCAAAAAGTTTATAAGTCGTAAAATTTTTAAACAGTATATAAAAGCCTTAAATTTTTATAGAATTTGCTAATCCTAGAAAAATCAGGGAATATTCTTACTGGTCACCAAAATCAGAATCAAGATTGTGTTCCGAATTGAATTTTAAATAAAAACAATCAAGAATAATTATTGATCGCGTAAAATATGGTGTTACTTTAGTTTACTTCACCTTAAATATACAATTTTTGAAGTAATTCCATAAAAAAAAAATATTTACATACCGGGTAAGCCTTCGATTGGAAAGGGGATAGAAGGAGCCCACCCCCCACCCTCTAAACTTCCCAATTAAATTTATTTTAAGAGATGTTTATTTAAATAATATTAATGTTTATTTTGGTAGTCTGCTCCCCCGTCTGCCCCTTTGGTAGCTAGCCCTTCACTAATTAGACACAATCTTTTATTTTCTACATACTAACCCTTAAGCGTTAAGGTGCATTTAGATTACAAACATATCTAAATGCACTAAACGATAGCGTTAGTAATGTTTGATTATTTTACAGAAAACGCCATTTGCCAGTAAAACGACCACCACCGAATTGGGAATGTTCTATAGGGAATGGCAAAGTGCGCCGCCACTTCAAACGTTCACGAACATTCCCACCCTTGCCGAGCAAGTGGAAGACCTGACGAAACAGCTGGAAAGTTTCGAATGTGACATGCACAAGTACGAAGACGTCTTGCAGTCTTTGTGCCAGTCGCCGAATAGCAATTAGTTGTTTATTCGATCGAGGAAGGAAATTATTAACATCATCACTATTGTGCATGTTTCAAAGACTGTCGACACATCATATCGTACTAAGTTACGCGCTTAAGAGTTTTCGTTTAAATATGAAATTGCCTTTTGTAAAATTCGTGTAATTGTCAGTTGCTTGCCTAAGACTTGCACTTATGTCTCATACAAGCGACGCACTTCGTTGGTTATGTAGGTTTAGCTGAACGAGAAAAAAACCGGATGAATATAAAGACTGATTTCTATTAAGGTTACAATTATATAATCGATCGATGAATATCAGACACTCCTAATAATATAATTAATAAACATGTTGATTAATGTTCCATCGAAAGTACTAAGCTGACACGGGTTATACCNAATAGTCTTTATTATTAATTAAATGTTATGTCCGCTTATTACTTTCGTAAAAATTTTTAAAATTGAAGTTCAAGTTTGAAAAATTTTTATATAAAATACGAGTCTGCTATGTTGACTCTATTTTTTGGATTTATGTCAAAATCGAAATCCTGTATTTTCTACATAAGATTGTGTTATGTAGCACTTGTTGATGGTATGGCGGTGGAATTCCATCAATGGAGAATCACAAAAGTTCTGGACAAGGATCGACATTTCCTATCTGCAGGTACACGATCCAAAAATAATGATAATGAATATTCAAATGGTTATGTTTTTAAATTATTGCCATTATTATCTTTCTACGTAATCACCTTACAAGTAGGCACATTTTTTCTAAATAATTTTTTCTGTTATCTTCTTGAAAAGACAAAAGTAACTAGGGGTCAGATCTGGAGAGTAGGGTGGATGTTCAAACAATTCCAAGTCTGATGACAGCTTTTACTTTGTTTTTTTATTTATTTTTTAACTAGTAAGAGGTCAAGGAAGTTTTAGATTTTTGTGTATATTACAATTACTGAATTATCATTACTTTTGGGTCATTCCTGATAAATATTTATTGTCGTTATTCGTGATGTAAACAGATCAAAAATGACTTTATCTGTCACCCGGTCACGCTATTGCTTTTCTACAATATAAATAATAAATAGGTAATATGTAAAAGATATTTGAACCGAAAAGATAACCTACCCTTGCTTTGTCAACGAAATGGTTTTTCTAGTTTCTAAATTTAGAGATAACAGAAGTTTTGAATGATAAGATGCTTTGTTGTTTGGTGAAATGCGAAATGTGATTGGAATGAAAGTCGTAATATTTGATCGACGTTTATTGATCAAATAAATCAAAATGTATTTACAGCGCTGAAACATTAAAATTGTTGTAGTCATCATGCTATCAAGGAAGTTATTATATAGGAAATGTTTGTTGGTTGTGTAAGTGCGGAAAGGTAATAAGGGAAATTCAGTTTCTTGGCACTTAACATTAAATAGTTACTCACATTTTTTATTTCCGTGCTTTTTTAAAAATGCTTCTATATTTTTTCGTTTTAAATCTACAATTTAGCGTTAGAGAGAGAATATAGAAGCTTAATAATTTTGGTTTTATTTTTGGTTCAAATTGAGTCCAGTAAATCGCTGTACTTTTTTGTTTGTACACGAACCAATTTTATGGTTCTTTTATAAAGAAAAATTACATCAATTTTTTATCAAACATTTCGTAATTCAAAGTCCGAAAACATAGCAAATTCCAAAATGTATTAAGCAGTGTATTTGATGTAATTTTTTTTAATATTCTTTGATGCTATTTCAGTCTCATATAGTACTTATAGTACAGGTAAATTAATTGAAAACTGCTACTGTTGAAATGTATTAATTCGTTATGTACTGCAGTGTTGTAATTGGAAACATTTTTCCCTTTAGATCTTACAGTATCATTTAGTTCTAAAATTATTCATATCATTATCATATTTTTCATGGTTTTATCATCGCTATTATTATTATTTATAAATATCATTCGGCTCATTTGCATCATATAATTATACATATTGTGTTCCG